GAACAGATATAACGAGAGAAATGTATTGATCAAAATAAATAAGTTATACCACAGAACAAACCAAACACAGCAGAACAAAAACTTAATTTGAGAAAGAACGATCTATGTACCAGACGCGCATTACTATCATAGCACGACTGACCAAGTACGTAGACATAACACGACATATCAGCCAGACTGTTAGCGGAAGTACCGAAGAATTTGTCGTTAAATCCGAATTTAATTTGATCTAGGATTTACTGTACTTCCACATCTACCATTGTTAGTCTCTGAGCAACATTTATCTATCTATCAATGGCTCTACAGCCCTGTTGGGTTTTGACCACTTTTTCGGTTTCTTAATCCCATTCATGGTCAGTAGGACTCCTCGGATGGGGAGCAGCCCGTCACAAGGCCTCTACCTATACACAGAACAACACAAACAGAGTAAACGTACACAATACAGACATCCTTGCCTTCAGTGGGACTGGAACCCACAGCTCCAGTGATTGAGCGGACGAAGACTGTTCATGCCTTTGTCTGCACGGCCATTGTGATCAACATGAATTTACCTAAACTGCATTACTGTAAAGAGAAAGAGAGAGAGGGCGGACAAATAAAAGGGTTAGGAGAAGAGAAAATGGAAAGGTAGATGAAAGAGAATGCAGATCCAAAAATAAAATCGTGTGGCACCCCTTTCTCCCTCCCAGGAGACGAAACGTGCACAAACGCTAAACATCATTGTCAATTGCCCGGATATCCTGAGACCACAAGCAGGCGTGTAACTAATGTGGTACAGTCTTTGTGCGGACGCTTGAAACTTACTTAATGTTATCATTAAATTCTCTCTCCCTGTAGACAGTTAACAAAAGCATGGACTTTCCGCTGAAGTTTCAATCGGAATTCATTCTTGGATAAGTGTCATAATAAAACAAGTTGCTGACAGCATCACGAAAACTATGTTCTATTTGATAATGCCATCACCAACAGAGGAACAACTACGAAGAATTGCTAATGCAGATTTGTCAACATGGAATTTCCCGAACTGTGGGGGACTCCAAAAAACAGTGGATCGACATTCTTTAACTACAATGAGTTTTATTCAATCGTTATGCTAGAAGTTGTCGATGCGGAATGCAAATTTGTTGCAATAGACGTCGGTTCTTATGGCAGAGAAGGAGACGCAGGTATCTACTTAAAAAGTAAAGTAGGATAAAACATCCGGACCAATACATTTAATATACCCCCACCAAAAGCATTGCCCGGGACAGATAATGTTGTACCACATGTGATTGTTGGAGACGAAGCTTTTGCTTCACACGAAAATTTGATGAAACCCTATCCGAGAAAACAAACTTTGAGTGATCCATCAAAATCTGTATATAACTATCGACTATCTCGAGCTAGAAGAACGACTGAAAATGCTTTCGGAATTTTATGTGCTTATTTTCGAATATTTTCCCAGTCGATCGCTACTGTCCCAGAAACTACCGACAAGTTGATTACATGTGCCTATATTTTACATAATATGTTACGGAAGCAAAAGTACTGTTTCCAACTCACGTGCATTTTGATGATGCGCTTCCATTACCTACAGAAAATTTATTCCCTCTAGCAGCAAATAACGTCCGTGCACGAAAGTCACCCACGCAAATCCGAGAAATATTCCAAACCTATTTCAATGGTCCAGGTGCCTTTGAGTTGCAGAATAATTATGCAAAACATTATTAACAAACCTAATTTTTATTTATTGTAAACAATTTTTAAAAACATGTTGACTAAAGTGTTTCAACATAAAAATGAAATATATTAATATATCATACCTGTTTTATTAAGTGTACCGCCGATTTCACACCACAGATTTCGCTTCAGCTAGGCTCGTCTGTAGTCTTTGCTCTTCACATTATATAACGTCTCATGAGTCTTCGGCTTCTCTACTCCAGCACGTCATGTTTTGAGTTCACCGCACCTGCCACCGTACCGTACAAAAACGTTGCTAGAACTGTTTGCCGCCGCACTCACCGCCGTCATACAAATGGCGGCACCGCTATTTTACATGGCAATGGTGGTCAACTCTCGTCTCAATGTTCAGTCCATACATAGATGAAATTATTGGGGATCATCAGTGTGGGTTTCGACATAACAGATCAACTACTGGTCAGCTCTTTTGCATTCGTCAGATAACTGGAGAAAATGGGTGTACAATGACAGTACGTCAGCTATTCATAGACTTCAAGAAAGCCTATGATTTAGTTAGGAGGAAAGTATTGTAAAATATTCTCATAGAGTTTGGGATACCCATGAAACTAATCAGGCTAATTAAAATTTGTTTAAACGAAACGTATTGCAAAGTCCATATAGATAATTGATTGATTGATCAGTAACTGTCAGATGACAGGTCCACAGTCTCTTCCAAAACAGTTCCTCCACTTAATGTGATCTTCTGTTTTTGGAAAGAGACTATCCAGGAAAAGTGATAATGTGGTAGTTTTTCCATTTGCTTTCCACATCGCAGTACAACAGCCGTTCAAACCACTCTGGTCACGCCTGTTGCTATACGAACTTGAACCATCTCGAGCATCATTT